AAAAAAATGTTTGAAAAGAAAATATTTCTGATAAAATGATGTATTAAAAAAGTAACTCAAGTGGTAGAGCACTATCCTTGAGCACAAAAGCTCAATGATCATACCCAGTCCCTGAATTCAAGCCTAAAAACAGCAGCAAATAAAATAGAATAATTCTGGGGGAAAAAAAAGTAACATTAAAAAGTGAAAGAAAACTCTCATCGCAAGATAGAATTAGTTTTTATGACTTCAATTGAATAGAAAATACTGCTTTTTGAGTATAACAATAGCATGATCTGATAGCACTTTAGATTGGTTATTTTGAAAACATGTGTTTATTTGTGACTACTAATACAAGTAATGCTGTTTGTTTGAAATTAGGCAATATAGTGTTGGATTTGAGGTTGTAAGTGTTTCCTTGGTGGGAGATCCTGGTCCCCATGGCTTTTCGAGGAAATCAAGTGGTGACTATAGGTAAGGTTGGCATTTTAATTGTGTATGTCCAGTGTATACTTTTTGTGGCATTGCCTTATTCTTACCTTCTCTGAATATAGGTGTGGATTTTGCTATCTGGAATTAGAAAATATACCTGCTGGGATCTTCAATATCATTCCCAGTACCTTTTTGCCTAAACAAGAAGGACCTTTTTTCTTGGACTTAAATAGTACTATCCCCATTAAAACAACACAACTTCAGTGATGGAAAATTCTCAGCAATTATTGGATTCTATACTTATCAAACATCAATTCTTCAAATGAGGACACAGATCTTCAGGATGATAAACAATCAGAGCGGAATTAAATCTGAATGTGTTACATTGGAATCTGGTGCTTGTCACAGTGTTTGGTAAGAATTTGTATATAGTCAGATTTACCCTTAATCACCTAGAAGTACTGTTTACATTGATTTTGTAAATATAGAGTTGCCACTTTATATAAAAAGTGCATATGATCAAGATTAGACTCAGACATCCATCACTGTGAGATGTAGTCACTGAAAGGAAAAGGGAACTGAGACTGGGTAAGGAAAATGAGGGCCGTGGCTCATTGAGTAGACTGTCAGACTATTTAATATCCTGAAATATTTACCTTTCTTTTTTTTTTTTAAACAGAGCATGTTGTGAACCCAATTGTATTGACCCCACTAATTCCAAATGAATCATGTCACTGTAATTTTAATTTTGCATTATGTTCTAAATGTTTATTGTTGCTCAGATGTTATGAAAGATAGATAAAGCTTTTGGTAGGATTAATTAGCTTAGCATGAAGACACTCAGGCTTAAGAACAAAGGTTGTTTGCCTTAGGCACCTATGGCATTGTAGACAGAACTGAGGTATATTCCCTATTGCAATTTTGGTTTACCACTTTGATGAAAATAATATTCTAAGGCATTAAAAACATTGTAATTTAGCCTGTATCTTTAAACTGATTTATAGTTCAGTGCTTTTGTAGCAACAACACTTTGAAAAAAGTGATTGATTGGTTATACAGCATCCCGAAAAAGTGATCATCAAGAATAGTGTCATGTAAATTCCCAGCTGTTTACCTAAATATCAGAACAGAATAATGCTCAAAACTTTAAAAGTCTGAAAAAGAGGGTGGGATTTTTCATTGTCTCTACTTTATAATTATCAAAACTTATTTTGTATTTCTACTGCCTTTAATTGTAATAAAATGTTTATACTTATGGAAATTAACCTCAAGAACATGATTTATTGAAAGCATTCCTAGAAGTATAGCAGTTGCAATTGTAAGAGTATGTGCTTCTAAAACTATGTTCTTGGTTGGGGGACATGGCTCAAGTGATAGAGTGCCTGCCTGGCAAGCTGACAGCACAGAGTTCAAACTCCAGTACCTCCCTCCCTCCCTCCCTCCACACACTCCCACCCCCAAAAACCCTGAAAAACAAAAACTGTTCTTTTTAATTCAGTGTCAGATTACTTAGGATTTTGAAATTAAGCATATTTTCAGTGGATGAATTCGGTTAGAGCTCTGTTGTAAACACACGATTTAAGCTACTCAGAAGATTGAGATCTGAGGATTGCAGCTCAAAACCATCCTGGGCAGCTGTGAGACTTTGATCTTCTACCAGAAAAGCCAGAGGTGGAGCTGTGGCTTCAAGTGGCAGAGCACTAGTTTTGAGGACAAAAGCTCAGGGACAGCACCCACCCTCTGAGTTCAAGCTCTAAGACCGGCACAAAAGGGGGGGGGGAAGGACCTATATGTGAACAATTCAATATGTGGTAGTGTTGAACCCAGTGTAGGAAAGTTTATTTGAAGAATTGGCATTTTAAGCCTTGAAAGTAAAGCTTCAAAAGACAAACTGTAAAAATTAGCCAGTGGTTATCATTCACTATATGTTCAATATGTATATTTTTCTTTGAAGGCACTAGTGTTCCTTTCTATAACTGAGGAACTAAGCCTGAGAGCTTAATGGTCTTGTTCTACCCAAAGCCACAACTCAGCAGCTCTTGGGGTGGGGCAGGCTGTAAAGTACATAGACACAGTGGGACCTATATCAGAGGAAGGTAACTGCATTGAATGAGGATATTGGGAGATAGATCACGCAGCCCTTTTGAGGTTCCAGGTTACAACAGTGGGACAGATGAAACAAAAATCTAGATAGGAATTGCTAAAGGTGATGAGTCAGAGTCAAGTTTCCAATTTCAGCCTAGGCAGATACTCAGATTTGGAGGTGTTTTTATTGTTGTTGTTTTGTTTTTTATCGGTCATGGGGCTGGACGCTGTCCCTGAGCTCTTCAGCTCAAGGCTAGTGCTCTACCACTTGAGCCATAGTGCCACTTCCAGCTTTTTCTGCTTATGTGGTGCTAAGGAATCGAACCCAGGGCCTCATGCATGCAAGGCAAGCACTGTACCGCTGAGCCACCTTCCCAGCCCCTTGCAGGTGTTTTTATAAAAACACATTATTCAGCAAAATGAAGACAAATACGAACCTTTTTTTTTTTTTTTTGTCGGTCATGGGGCTTGAACTCTGCGCTTGGGCGCTGTCCCTCAGCTCTTCGGCTCAAGGTGAGCGCTCTATCTCTTGAGCCACAGCACCACTTCCGGATTTCTAGTGGTTTATTGGAGATAAGAGTCTCACAGACTTTCCTGCCCCGGCTGGCTTTGAACCGTGATCCTCAGATCTTAGCCTCCTGAGTAGCTAGGATTACAGGCGTGAGCCACCGGTGCCCGACGGACAAATATGAACTAAAGAAGGCCAGAAGTGACTTTTGATGGAAGCAACTAAGTTTTTAGAAGCTGTAAAAACTGATGGTGGGAGCTATAAGAAACCAAGAGGATTTGGGTGGGGGGTGTTTGTAGGAGAGATCAGCTAAATTCAGACATAGCAGAGAGTAGGTAGGAAGGTTGTAATAGCAGGAGTGGAGCAGACTGCTTTAAGTAGAAATGTGTATAGTGAGAACATGAGAGGAGATAATAAAGGGGAGCCAGCGGCAAAAAGTGGTATAATTATTCCCTAAAAAGACAGTAGGTCATAGGGTGATGGGGAAAGGAACTGAGGCAGGAAATAAGTCCCAATGCCCAAATAAGGGATAGAGATTATACCTTGATTTTCTAGGCTTTGTCTTAAAAACAACGGAAAGCCCCAACATTAGAACATTCTAGCTCAGGCTAGGTGGTAGGGTACACATGTAATCACAGCTTACTCAGGAGGTGGAGGATAGTGTTTCAGACTTAGGTTGTAAGGTGTTAGCCAGATTCTGTCTCAGGCATCTGGCACTGGATCCAGACCCCAAATACTGTAACACCACCCCTTGAAAAAATGGGGAGGCCTGTTTGAGTGCTTGATAGAGCTTGCCTATTATGTGTTCCATTCCAAGTACCAAAAAGAAAATCCCATCACACTACCATTCTCTGCATGAAGTATTTTAAAAAAGATCAATTTCTAATCATTAATGAAATGTTTTGTGGCTTCCAGTTATGAAAGGCAAAATGTAAGGTACCCATACTGTGTAGCAGATATTTGAGCTGGAAATTCATGTTAGATTCTGAACCGTACAAACTATCTCTGAGAAATATTATTCATAGCAACTTCAAGCCATCCCAATTTTGTGCTTTTCCAAACAACGTGTCCCCTTCCCCGCTGCAAGGGAAAGGAGCAGTGTCTCCATTGCAGAGAATACTTTGTGTTTGTCTTTGATTAGTGGTAGATGCAGGGGACTTCACTTGAGAATTGAGTGGATCTGAAGATCGCTGGAAGTCAAGTGCATTGTTTAGTATTTTTAAACATAGCAAAAGGGATTTGGATGAACTTTGAGATGAAATATTTACTACTAGGTAAATCTTTACAATTATTGGCTTTGAAATGCACACACCAAGTCCACAGATTAAAATCCAGTATCATGTTTCTACTTGAGAAAGGATCCATGACTATCTGATTCTTCACCTTTATAATCATCCAAGAACCTTCTAAAGGTCCAGTGCCCAAGTGAGTGTACCACAGATCAGTGAAATATGTCAGGGTGCCCCTGGACAGCAGGATTTTAGCTAATGGTCCATGCTGTCCAGCGAGGCCAACGGTGCCTTATCTGTAGTGCCCATACTGTCCACTCCCTGCTCAGCTTTAGTAGCAGCACAAGTAGGATTCAAATCCAAACCTTGTTGTATCTGGGTTACAGTGATTAGGATTCAGGATCTTAAAAGTGAAATGAGTGCCAGGCACCAGTGGCTCACAACCTGTAGTACTAGCTACTCAGAAGGCTGAGATCTGAGGATCATAGTTTAAAGCCAGCCCTGGCAGGAAAGTCCATGAGACTCTGATCTCTAGTTAACCACCAAAAAGCTGAAAGTAGAGCTGAGGCTTAAGTGGTAGAACACTAGCTTTGAGCAAAAACGCTCAGGGACAGCACTCAGGCTGGTAGTTCAAGCCCCAGGACAGGGACAAAAACAGTTTTAAAAAAGTGGGAGAAATGATTACTGCATTCTGTGCTTCTCCATAATAAAGGTTGCTCACAACAGAAAAAGTAGGCAACATCAGATTTTCTACTTAAAAAGCCACAGAGTTTTCTTAAGCATTTTTATTACACTCAAGGTACTAAGTACAAAATAACCTTGTAATTAGAATACTGTATCAGTTAATAAAAAAGAACCATTACAGTATGAAGAGATGTACAAATGGCTAAAATACATAAGCTGTGACAGTCAACAGACAACTTGAAATGAGGTTGCTTTTCTTTTAGAAATGCCAAATTTTCTTAAGAGAAAATACAGTGCTTTAAATATGCATAACCATAAAAACATTAAAGAAAAGCAGTCTGAACATTTAATACTATTAGCATAACAGACACCACTGCTTCTATTTAAACAGCCTTTGCCAACACATGCCTACTCTCTTTCCTAGCTTTAAGGAAAATTGGCTCTAAGAAATACTAGGTGCAGCATAACCCTTAAATAATTTCATTATTTGAAAAGTTGAGCCTACAGAGAAATCACCACCTTGTCAGTGTAGATATGACAATGGTCACTGCTTCACATGCACATGTCTTAGGATAAGTCAGTTTCCTTTGGCTGGCAGGGTAAGGTTAGGCTAGACAGCCTTCTCTCCCACAGCCATGGATCCCTTCTATGCTATGTCTCTGCTACCCTCAGCCCTCCCTCCCCCATCCCCACACTGGCATCACCTTTCCCATCCCCAAAAGTGCAGTTTCATGGTAGCCTTCCTAGGAAATGGTTTCAATGGGTACCCCAACCTACATGCTTTTTTAAAAAGCCCCCTCTGAACACCAGAGGTGAGGAAAATGAAGTGTGTTCTTGCATTTCTTTTAACCTTTATGTCAGAAGATAATGCACTGGATACTTGAGTTTTATTTTTGTTTTGAATATTTAGATATCTTGGGATATAATGGAGAAAACATCTCTTATTCCCCAAACTAAGTGTGAAAAAAGAGACGCAGGTTGTGGCCCCCAGTTTGGCTAAGCTTCCAACCTTCCTCCTAACTTGGGTTCTTTCACAAGAACTCATTATTGCTTCCACAACACTATTACAGGGAATGAATGGTCCACAAAGGCTGTGAACCTGGTCACAGTCAGCCTGCAGTGATGTAGCTCGGAAAAACATACTAGCCCAAGAGGGGAATTCTTCAGCCCTCAAGTCACCGAAACTTGATTAGTGCAGTTTAAATGCTTAAGATTTGGCATGTTAAATGATAATTGGCACAATGTTCTTGAGTTTCGTGTATAAATACTGATTTGTACATGGGGGGTGGCCCTGGATGGATCAGCCAATCTGCACCATTTTTATGTCAGCAATAATCCCATCTCTTCCCTTGGAGCACTGGAGGGATAGCTGCTTCATTCGGGTCTCCAAAGCCTGGCTCTCAGAAGACGTGCGGCTTTGGCTCTTACCCCTGCCACCAACACCACTGCTATTGTTGCCACCTCTGTTGTTGTTGGCTTTGTCACTTGTTTGATTCTCTGCTCCTTCTGCCCTGTCTCCTGTAGAGATACAAAAGTTACCAAGTGGGCGTTGACAATTCTAAGCTTTACTTAGGCACAAGCCAATCATCCAGCTCAGGAACCTCTGGAATTCGTGGGGTTTCCCACCATGTGTATCAGAGAGGGTTTGCCAGCTTTTATTCCTCCCAGAGTCGTTACCTCATTTTACAGCTAGGAAACAAATCTCTCAGGGCATTCTGAGGAGACACACAGGACCTAAACTATTGGATCAAAACCCTTCTGATGAGGAAATGCCAGAAGTCCCCAGAATAGCCCTTAGAAACCAGCTCAGTGACCAGTACCAGCAGTACATTGTCAGAGACCCAGCAGTGCTACCCTGGGTGCTCCCAAGACTTGGCAGGGGTGGGGGACAGGTTGGGCTGTAAAGTTAAGAGTCACCTGAGACAGAGCTAGAGGTCTGCTACTCACCTCGTTCTATCTCGCATTCAGGGGAAGAGGCCCCACTGCATTCACTTCGAGGGCCCAACACTGGGAACATCATCCCAAACTCTGACAAGGACATGGGGCTGGGCAGATCCAGACTGCCAGGCCTTGTGACGGCAGGGAACTGGTCAGGCATCTCAGATGGGCTCGTTGGTCCTGAACTAAAGCTGGACACAGACTGGGTTTCTGAGTCATCTTCTGACACAAAGTTGCTACAGTTGTCGTCTTCAAAGGCCTCTGAGGCCACTAAGGATGAAAGAGAACACCAGTCACATATGATCTGCCCAACAGTAACCTGCACACGTACATACCACTGCCAGACAGACAAGGCTTGGAGACTGCAGAATCTGCCCTAAGGACATCTGACAGGAATGTGACCTTCTGGGCCTCCCTGACTAGCCTCTGAAACAGCATGAAAGGAACCAGCTTGGATCCCTAAGGTTACAGTTAGTGACCTTGCTGTAACCTTAAGCTCTGCTGTAGAAATCAGTGTTACCAGACACTATCCTCAAGATGGAAGGTGGCTGAGGAGATAGCTCAGTGGTAGGTAGAGCACTTGCCTAACATACCAGAGGCACTGGGTTCCCCCACCCCCACTACACCTCAAAAGGAAAATAGCTGTAGACCAGGACTTCAACACCTCAGACCCCTAAACAAACCTACCTGTACACAGGAAAATGTAATTACATCCCAACAAAGCCAGCCTTCATCCTAGCTACTCAGGAAGTTGAGATCTAGAGGATTGAGGTCTGAAGCCAGCCCGAGCAGAAAAGTTTGCTGGACTCCCAACTCCAAAATAGCAAAAAGTTGAGCTGGAGGTGTGGAAGGTCCTGAGTTCAAATCCCAGTATTGCCAAAAACAACCCCCCCCCGCCCCCCGCACACACACACTCTCCTGTCTAGGAAAGAAGCAGCAAGAACTGCCAGAGTATGGAATGTTTACCCTGGAGGTCCTTTGCTTTCTTTTGGATAATTTCTGATCTTGTAAGATACCCTTAGAGTCTACTTAGATCTCCATTTGCTGCAAAGAACAGAATTCTTTTATAGTGTTCTGTAGCTTGTTCTGTACAGTTTATGGACCGGATTAACCAAGGCCCAGAGGCATGCTGCTTTCAGAGCCTCTGCCTCTCTCCTGCACAGTCCTGCTTCTTAGCATTGTTCCTCTTCCCTTTTCTTCCTCTCAAATCTTTATGAAAGTACTATAGTGTTGGGGTCCACATCTGAATTCAGATCCTAATTCCACTGCTTAGTGTGTAGCCTTGTCAATTTGACCTCTGAGCTTCACCATCCTCTCCATCCAAGATTTATGAGGATACATATAATTTGTGAGATATTATGTGAGATTTGTATATAAGTATTACATGAACATAATATTTGCAGTCATTGTTTATAGTCTCAGTTTACCTTGGACCTGGTACTTAAAACACTTGCTGATGGATTTATAGAATTCCTGAGGGAACCTAGAAACTAGCTTACAAGCATTTTACCCCAGGAAAGGAATTCTGAGTGCTTACTAGTGGTGCCAAGCATTATTTCATGTAATCCTAACTACCACCCACCATGGAAGTTAGTAGACCCTATCTTATTACCTACCTTACACATCATGTGCTGATAATTAGGTGAAGGCTAGGACTTGAATAAAAATCTGATTCCAACTCCCTATTCTTAGACTCTTTCCTGCAGGACTTCTACAAGCCTTGAATGTTCCTAGTGTGTATTTTGACTGCCAGAGACAAGGGAAGGTTTAACCTTTCCCAAACTTATTTGACCATAGAATCGAGGAATATTCATTCACATCTTTTGAACAGTTTTCCACAAAACATGGGAAGTCTCCAGAAACAGCTTGTGAGGTTGCCCAGCTCTGAAATTCTTCAGTGACAGGCAGTGATGAGGAGGACCCTGGGCCAAGGCAGTTCTGGATGCAGATCACACAAGCTATGTGGTCCCCACTTGCCTGACTCACCAGAAACAGCATCTGGTTCGGGCTTGCTTCCTGACAGGCCCTCCACAGACGTGCTGCTGCCCTCAGCACCCACACCACAGCCCCGAGGCCCCATGGCACTAGAACGCCGTCGTTCATGGATCTCATCTGAGATCCTCTCCAGGTTCTTCAGGGCTGTCTTGTACTCGCCCTTCGCCAGGGTCAGCTTGGCCTGTAGGTCATCCACTGTCTTCTTCAGTTGCTGGTTAGGAAGATAGGAGAACTTGGTAAGCAAGTCTCTGAGATGCTGTTTATTTTTTTTTTTTTGTCAGTCCTTGGGCCTGAGTACTGTCTCTGAGCTAGCACTGTACCACTTTAAGCCACAGCTCCACTTCTGGTTTTCTGATGGCTAACTGGAGATAAGAGTCTCATGAGGGCTGGGAAGGTGGCTCAGTGGTAGAGCGCTTGCCTTGCATGCTCGAGGCCCTGGGTTCGATTCCTCAGCACCACATAAGCAAAAAGAAAAAA